TTTCTTTCTTTCTTTCTTTCTTTCTTTCTTTCTTTCTTTCTTTCTTTCTTTCTTTCTTTCTTTCTTTCTTTCTTTCTTTCGGCTTTTTTGAGACATGGTTTCTCTGTGTAGCCTTGGCTGTCCTGGATTTGCTTTATAGACCAGGCTGTCCTTGAACTCAGAGCCATCCACCAGCCTCTGCTTCCCAGAGTACTGGGATCACAGGCGTGCACCATTTCACTTGGTGGTGGTTGTTGGTCTCAGTTTGTTAAGTAGCTGTGTGCAAAGAAGAAACAACAAGAAGAAATTACATACTCTAATGGCAAAGGTCAAACTTGCCCCAAGGGACTTGGCACCTGTAATCAGCAGGAAATAGTCTAACAATAAGGTTGCCCCCTTTTTGACCCCGTACCTTATTCAGGAATCTCTCTCTCTCTCTCTCTCCTCCCTTTATCCTTCTTTCTCTTTCATCTAGTGTTAGGAGGTGAACAGGGAGGATACATGAGGTGAAAGAGAAAAAGACAGGAGAACCCACGAGGTAGCAAAGTCCAGCTACACTGATGGCAGCTAGATGATTTACTTTTCACTTCCTACGATAAAGCATTATGGTTAGGAGCTGGCCAATCCAAGCCTTTCCCTGAGGCCCTGAAGTATGGAGAAGGGATGCGTTTCTTGTCTGACACCAAGAATACCCTTTACAAAGTCAGGACAGGACCTTGGGGAAGCTATGATTTCAACCCTGAGAGCCAACTCTCCCCCAAACATACATAGGGAGCTGTGGTTATCAATCCCAAGGCCAATATGTGCTCAGTCTGTGACGCTTGAGAGATCCTGTGGGACTGCTGTGCAGCATTGCTTATCTTCCTGCTGGCTTCATCCCATTGTATGACAGCTTTCTCCCGACTCTGCCTCATTTCCCCTCTGCAAACCGTATAAAAACTGCTCTTCTTGTCGATAAATTTGCTTGACATAAGACATTGGCTTATGTGAGACCTCCTGATCCCAGCTTTCCTGTCTTTTTCATTTTCCTCTTTCCTGGCCCACTGTCTCAGGAACCTGCACTGAAGTCTGTTGGTCCAGGTCACAGTGTGACCAAAGCAACTTGTGAAAAGAAAAGAGTTTATTTAGGCTTACCATTTTAGAGGGGTAAGACTCCAGTGACAGAGCAGCCTGGCAGCAGGCAGCAGGCAGGAGGAGCATGCTCCAAGATTACATTTTGGTAGACAAGCAGGAAGCAGAGAGAGGAAACTCATGGTAGGGGAAGGCCCTAGGTTCTCAAAGCCCACCCCCTGTGACATAGTTCCTCCAGCAAAGCCACAAATCCAAAAATGTTCCAAACAGCCATAACAACTGGGTACCAAATGCTCAAATGCCTGAGCCTATGGGGGACATCTCATTCACTCCATTGCAGTGGCCTCTTTAGTGAGACCTTTTTTTGTGAGCAGTTAAGATACACCATAAGGCAATGGTACTGAAATCAGGGCCTAAGTTCAAATCCTCAGGGCAGCCTTTTATGTCAGTGTAACTGCAATGAGTCACTGTACTTTTCTGATACTGTGTCCTCTTAAGAACAGGAAGATGGAGAAAGCTCAAGTCCCTGTATACCATCTTCAAGGCAAGGACATGTGCCTGTCAATTGCATGAGCACAACTCAGTATCTAGAGGGGCAGGGCAGGCAGGAAAAGGAAGTCAGCCAGCTCTGGCCTCAGTCTGATAGCAACCGAGGGAACAGAAGGCATTGTGCAATTGTGTTCCCATTAGACCCTCACACAGGGTCAGATACTAATGGGGCAGGACTAGCTTGAGCCCTTCAGGGAGGGGAGCCTTGGAGACCCTGCAGGCTCAGGATGCTCAGGCTTCATGGAGGTGTTTGCTTTATGTAGCCCAGAGCAGGGGTGATGTCTGCAGGAGGTCCTAGCAATGTGGGTGCAGAGACTGCACAGGCTAGGCCTTGGGAAGGCTGCCCCAAAAGGAGCTGTGTGGACAGAGGAGACCAGACACCACCCCCAACTGGTGGGTGCTCAGAGGTCTTCAGTGAAAAAGAGGTTAGATAGGAGAGCGTGAGAGGGATTCCCCACTTACGTGTTCAGATGGGTTTCTGTAAGTCAGCAATGCATGAGAGCTGTTCAGTCTCTCCCATGTGAGAATTCCATGGCAGGGACACTGGGAACTGAGGAGTTGCTGTAGACACCCATTTCCTTTCCTCAATGCCAGTGGCCTGCATGGCTTCTCTTCTCAAACCCCAGGCCAGTCTCCTCCTCCTTCCTCATCTTGCCTTTCCTTCTTGAGCTCCAGAGGACCCAGAACCAAAGTAGGGCAAGGGCTGGGAGGGGCAGAGCCACCAGGAGAACCAGCCAGTCCTTGAAGAGGAAACAGCTCCCTAAGCTATAGGCAGTAGGGACTGAACACCCCTGCACAGGCTCGCTGATTGGCCAGAAGGGGCAGGTGAACTAACCCTGTGGCCACAGCTGTGCACCCTCCCATAGAGGTTTACAAAGTGGCTGTAGAATGCATGCCTTGCTCTGCTTGCAGGGATGGGTGCTGCCAGGTCTGCCGTGAGCATCCTTGGACTTCCTGCTCCATGTGGCAGTGGTGAGGAGTCACCTCAGTTCGCCTGTCATCTGCTGAGCATCACTTGACCAAGTCCCCACTTCCCGCCAGACACCCTGCCTTGCCACAGACATCCAAAGGCTTAGCACCCCTTTGCCAACTTGATCCAGGCTTACCCTGTCTCTCTCACCTCCTCACAAGCTTCCTGTGCTTCCTCAGTAACTGTAGTACTGCTACTCCTCCGGCCCTTTCTTCCCCAGAGACTTTCCCAAGTCCCAGACCAAGCTGGATCAGCCCTTGTTCCCTGACATCCTACCTGCTACACCACATTGTCATTTAGAGAGATTCCCATTATTACAGGTTTTTAAATTTCAATTTTGTTGTTGATTTGGGGACAGGGTCTCATGTAGTTAATTTTGTGATTGATTTGGGGACAGGGTCTCATGTAGATAATTTTATTGCTGATTTGGGGACAGGGTCTTATGTAGCCCTGGCTGAACTTGCTGTGAACAAGCCAAGAATGAACTTGATCTCCACATGCTCCTGCCTCCACTTCCCAAGTTCTAGGATTACAGTCATGCACCCGCATGCCTGGTTTTCTCCTGTTAACTGTGAGCAGCCTGTAGCTGCTGATTTTTCACAGCTCACGGAATGGCAGTTATATTTATTTACTAAGTTTTTCACACAGGGAGAAGTCAGAGGACTTTTGAGAGTTGCTTCTCTCCTTCCACCATGTGGGTCATGGGGTCAAACTCAGGTTCTCAGTCTTGGCAGCAAGTGTCCTTACCTGCTGGGTCATCTTGCTGTGTGGTGACAGTTATTGCAAAATGGGTTTGATGAGTGCAGTCTTTCATGAAATGCTTAGCAGTGAGTGTGGCTTTGGGTACAGGGTGGTAACATGGGGCCTGGGGTGCCCCTTTCTTTTCTCTCCTTCTAAATCCTTCCTTCAAACCAAATTTTGCTGTTCCCCACCCTAACTAGAACCCCTCCCCCATTGCTCTTTCATTTCTGAGAATAAATGTCCCTCTCCTTTCTTCTCCTTCCCTCTAGTCCACATGGAAGTTTCTAGTTCCCAGGTGGGCTAGTCAGCAAGGCTCTGTCTCTGAGGGCAAAGTGGGCTTAGAGCTCTAGCCAGGTCCCCAAAGAGCCTCTGGTCTGTCATGTCACCTCCCTTCAGTGGGTGCCATACTTGGGTGGAGAACAAAACCTTTAAGCTAAAGAGGAAGTGGGAAATTGAGCATGGGTGTGAGGAGAAATGCGCATACTCTTACTTCACCATGGTTTCCTCTTGGGCTTTCTCAGCTCTCCTCACTCCTGGCCTTATGAGACAGGAGACTGCAGAGTATCTGAGAGCCTTCCTCTAGTGTAGTTCAGGGGTCTCAGTTCAGAGCCTGTAGCTGGAGGATCCTCACAGCCACATAGGCCTTGCCCAGCTTTCCTCTTGTCCACAGAGGTCTCTGCCTTCCTCCATGCAGTACTGGATTGGCTGCAGCAGCTGCCTGAATCCTGCCCAGAGCTGCCTCCTCTCTTCAGAGCATCCCTAGCCTCTTCCTTCTTACTCCCCATCTCGGTTCAAGAAGAGGACCCATGGCCTGGCAAGCCACATCCCTGCTATTCTGCTTCCTGCTGGTGCTTCTGGCCCCAGGTGAGGACAGGGGACAAGGATGGCGGAAAGGAAGCAGGTTGAGGAAAGGGAAGGGGGTGGGGGGCCTGCAGGAGTGGGGCTCTGTGATTAGAAAGGCAGAATTCGTGGGGTGTTGTGGCCAGTGGCTGGCTCTAGACCAATCCTGAGCTTGGAGACAAAGAGGGTCACTCTCTGAGAGGGGAACCCATCTTCTGGTCCTGCTGTGGAGGCTGGGGCTCTCTGACATGAAGAATGTATTCCCAGGCTCCTGGGCACAGGACACAGAGTTCCTTCAAAGAATGGAGGGCCAGACTGTTTCTGTGACATGCCGGTATGGTTCCAACCAACGCTGGAAGGAGAAAGTCTGGTGTCAGAAAAGATCAGCAGAAACTTGTCAAATCCTAGTGTCGAGTGTGAACACAGGGGCTGCAGGACTACGATACACCATCCAGGACCATTCCAAGTCTCACTTCTTCACTGTCAAAATGTCTGCGCTCAAACGGAGTGACTCAAACACCTATTACTGTGCAATCGCTGAAAATCGCAGAACCGACTCTACTTTCGTGCAGATCACTATTCTCAGAGCCATCAGCCTGTCGGTGGCAAAAGGTGAGCTTCCCCCTCCATGTGCCTCTCAGCCTTCCTCAGTCATCTGGCTGCAGAGCTGGAGAGGACTCTATTTGAAACTGCTTCCTCCAGCAGAGGTCCTCAGCCTGTGGGTCACAGAACCCTGCGTATCAGATATTTACATTACGATTCAGAACAGTAGCAAAATTGCAGTTATGGAGTATTAACAAAGTAATTTTATGGTTGGGCTCACCACAACCCGGGGAACTGTATAAAGGGTCACAGCACCGGGAAAGGTTGAGAACCAGTGCTCTAGCAGCTGAAAACTGGGGCAGAGAAGAGAGGCCCCTCCCCTGAGACCACAGGCTGGTTAAAAGCTCAGCCCACCCTAGCACCCAGACTTGCTGGCCTCTGGGAGGTTCTTACGGGGTTCTCTGAACACTTTTGCTGGTGTTGCTAACAGAAATCTTCCACTTATTTCTCTAAATATGTATTTAACTATAATTGCATGCTATAATGCCAATGCTGTAGAGCACAGCAGAGGTCAGAGGGCAGCTTTTTGGACTTGATTTTCTGTCTCTCCACCATGTGGGCTGATGACCATTAGGTCATCAGTCTTGGCAGCAAGAAACTTTATCAGCTGAGCTATCCCCCAGTTCCATTCATTTGGAAGAATCTTAAAAGTTCCCCCAAGCTGTCACAGCCTTCCATTTCTGAACATCCCTTGCCTGTAATCCCACCAGAAACCTTCTCTCCAGGGAAGTGGGCTCTGGCACACAGAGAGCTCACAGCAAATGGAGGGGGCACTGAGAGGTGTGGAGTGAGAGGGGAGAGCTAGACAGAAAGGCGGACTTGATGCTTAGTGGAGAAGGCTAGGAGATGTGGGTCCTCTTCACAGATCTGCCCTTGACAAGCCTCTGAGCTCTGGGATGGTGGTCCAGAGGCCTCTGGTGATGATCTTGAGTCTCCTGTATATTTCATGCTGAAGACTGTGGTGACCTAAAACTTTCTGAATTTGAACTTGATGTTAATATCCTCATAATCTGAAAGGCCTGTCCCTGCACTTCCCCGCTGCGGAGCATGCCCAGCCCTCTGTTTCAGTGGGTTCCTGGAGGTTATTTTTATGAAAGCTTTGGCCCAGGCACATTCCATGTAGGAGATGCAACAGGTGTTGACTTTCCTTCATGTTCAAACATGGTGGATACAGGACTGGGGGTGACTCAAAGAGTAAAATGGTTGCCATGTGTGATGATTAATCTTAGCTGCCAGTGTGGCAGGCCCTAGACTCAGGAGGGAGACAAGGCTCTGGCCACATCTGTGAGAGCTCATCTTGGCTTGAGCTGGAAAGTCCCACTCTACAAGTCGGTGGCACCATTCCCTAAGCTGGACTCAATAAATGGGGAGTGTGAGCTGAGTGTGCTCACTGCTCCTTGACAGTGGATGCGCTGTAACCAGCCCTTCAGGCTCCCGTAGCCTTGACTTCCTCACTACGGACGGTATCCTGAACTGTATGTTCTTTCTCTCACAAGTTGCTTTGGACAGAGTGTTTTATCACAGTAATGAGAAAGGTATCTGAGACGCTGTGCAAATATGAGGACCCCAGCTCTAGTCCCCAGAGGCACATTAAAGAAAAGGCTGGGCACGGAGGCACTTGGCTTGTAATGCCTGCACCAGGGAGATGAAGACAGGAGGATCCTTGAGGTTTCCTAGCAAGGTTCAGGCCACTGAGAAACCAAGTCTCAAAAGTTAAATAAAATAAAAATGAGATGGATTCCACCTGAGTAAAGACAGCTAAAATTATCTTTTAGCATGCATGCACATTCATACATACGTCCCTGCACACACACACATGCAAATACATGCATGTAAAGACACACATTTTCAAAAGAACATCAGGGGCTAGTCAGATGACTAAGTGGTTAGGGGTGCTTGCTGTTGTTACAGAGGAATGAGTTTCCCAGGACCCTCATCAGGTGGCTCACAGCAGCTTTTAACTCCAGGTCCCGAGGCTCTGACACCTCTGGTCTCCATGGGCTCTGAACTCACATGAACATTTCACCCGGACCATCACCACATATATATAGTTAAAAATAATAAGAACCAGAAAATGAAATAACGCAGGAGACAGGAGTGGTCCTGGAACACATGAGACCTCACTTGCAGCTGTGTGCACTGAAGCTTTTCTCAGGAAGGGCCTCCAGCCCCATTCCCAGCCGAACACCGCCCTTCTGTGCCGGGTGGAAGGTGCTGCTGAGTCCTCTCCTGCTGCCTCCAGGGCCCTGTGTGGGCTCCTCCTCTTCCAGGGCTGGAGAGTCGGGGGTTGAGGGGGTAAAAAGATAGATACATTGCTCACTGTAGTCTCTTACAGCTACAGTCGCACCCACAACCTCCCGGATGACAACCTCCCAGATGACAACCGCCCTGGCTTCTACCGACATCCCTGACACTGACAGGTACAACCTGCTCCCTGGCCTGTCCTCTTAGTCTTGTGTTTCCTCCCACTCTCCCAACTATAGGACCCCAACTGTCACTCTGACAGATACCAACTCTCGCAGGATGGATGGAGTCAGACGGTCACTTTTGATCATTTTATATAGGCTCAGTTTTTCTCATCTGCAAATTGAGATCACAATAATATTCTCACATCTATCTATCTATCTATCTATCTATCTATCTATCTATCTATCTATCTATCTATCTATCATCTATCTATCTATCTATCTATCTATCTATCTATCTATCTATCTATC